GCTCTGTGTGTCTCTCTCTCTGTTCCCTCAGCATTCCTTCGCCGGTTTACACTGGTTTCCCTCCTTCCAACCGGTGTTCTTGTAGTTTTAGCTCTGAGTTGTTTAGAAGAAGCTCCCATGTGTGCTTTTCCTTTGGCAAGGCGGATTGCTTCACTAGGGCTGGGCGGCTCTGATGAATCACTTTCTGCAGCACTGTTCTCTTTCAGAAAATCCTTGAACCGAGTCTCAAACTTGTCGTTGAGCTGCTCTATCTGTTGCATCAGCTGAGTAGCAACTGACTGATTAGCTTCTTTGATTTGTTGCGCCATGGCTTGATTCAGAGCTTCCATGGCTTCTGCTGAAAGCTCCATGGTACCTGAGACAATCAAAACAACAATCAAAGTAAAAAGTTCTCAAGATAACAAGTTTTTAAGATTGATTAAAGAAAGAGATACAACTCCTAAAACTATTAGGGAAAACGAACACACAACCTATTACTATTAGGAAATCGAAACTAAACACTAACTTTTATGAAACAACAAAAAGGCAAACCTAAGACTCTTAGGACAATCGATTTAACAAAGAAAAGGAAAAAGAGGGGTTTAGGGTTTCTCAGCCTTTGGTTCAGAGTTGGCTCTGATACCACATGACACGATCTCCCTTGGAACTACTCTGAAGATAGGCTGATGAAGATCAAATGATGATTGCGAAATGGTGATGCTGATCGTGTGAAAGGGGAAGGGATAGTGTAGAGTGAGATTGGAATGGTATTAGGGGTTTAATGGAACGATTTAAGTGATAAGATGGGAGTAAAAGATAGTAGAGTTTCAAGGACACTTGGTGAATAGAAACTCGGATCAACAAGAACACATTCAAGAGATCAAAGGGTGAGAGAAGAAATGCAGCAATGGCTGTTTGTTTAACACTTAGTTCTTCGCTGATTTACAAATGGGGGCGTAATACAAGTCTTATACTACCCTAAAAAACCAAACAGCATGGCGTCTAAGAAAGAAAACAACAAAACGTCCAAAGTAAAGAATAAAACAACAAGGCGTCCCATTCCTTAGAATCCTAATTGGTGCGCCTGAAAATACTAAGTATAAGGCCAAAGTAGCTCATACATTTATTACCCATTGGCAATGACTCCTAAGTAACTTGACGTAGTGATTCATCTGCCTCATTAAAAACCATGTTGAGAAAACCCAATGGGACAAAACTCATCATGGGAAAAAGAGTACAGACTCCTCACCTAAGTTACTTAGTTATCATTACCGGGTGGAGTCTTCTGGTTGAAGATGTTGAAAACTTGAATAGCTGGTAGGTTGCATAATCCTTCTGCCATAAGTGCATGAACTTCCTTAGCCAGCTCCTTAGCTCTGGAACGAGTGATCCTCCCTACTATCTCCGGTTCCTCCTTTGGTTTTGTAACTACCGTGCTATCCCCTATCATATCAAGTCTGGCGAGCGACCTGTGCATTCGCGGCCTCAAGTTCGAACTTCAGCTTGTCGACTACTTTCCCCATCTCCTCGATCTCCTCTAGATGAGGGACGTCCCGCAGTCTCTGCTCAAATCGAGCATAGAGTCGGTTTCCAGCCTCCGCAGCCTGCGAGCATCGAGGACCAAAGCAATAAGATGAATAACACTTAACCAAAAAAATTAAACAAAAGGTACACTTGTTACCTTCCCCTGGGCCGACGCCATCTGCACGTTGAGCTCTCTCTAGGTCATCTTTTTCAGAGCCGAAAGTTGGCACCCAACGGGCTTGAAGTGATACCACATGGCCGCCATGCCCTCGGAGTCATCCGTGATCGGATGATCCTTGGTGTGCTCGAACTTCCAGTGGAACGGCCGGCTACCTGTCGAGCCCCCACTCCCGTTAGATACCAACAGACATGGTTCTGCAGCTCGACTTCCTCTGTCGTCTCTCGGCCTCTTAGAGGCAGGCTGGGACAAGAGCTCGGGCTCTTGGTCATCAACGGAGCACTGGGTCTTGCCCGAGCTGACAGAGATCGCCCCCACTAATCGTGGAGGGGGGGGGGGGGTCGGGCTGAGGGTTCATCACCTGCTCAACCTCCTCATCACGAAGATGAGGCGTGGGAGCAGCAGCCGAGGCGAGCGCGGCCTCAAGGGCCTCCTTGACACTTCCGGAACGTACCCTGGAGTTGCTGGGGCCAGTCGGGGCCTTCTCGACTCTCTGGCGAGTGGTTGACTTGCGAGACATAGCTGAGCTTGAACTTGCTGAACTAGAAGAAGGCAGAATAGAACGGAGAGGAAGAACTCCAGCTGCCAGCAAAATAAACCAATCTGCATCACTTCATCATGATCCAATAAACTAAGGTCGTAACACCAGCTCGACGGAAAAACTTACTAGGAGCAAAAATCGGAGCCGGAACGGGTGAGGTGAGAACTCGTCGAACTCGTTCTCACGTGAACGTGCTCCAGATGACTTCCCCGCGCCTGAATAACTCTAACCGGTGCTCGACGTCGGGATCCCTTGGTGCCTTGGATAGCTGACCTGATAGACAAAAATGAACTAAGGTCAGAAAGCCGGCCGAGTCAAATAAAACAAGTGAAGCTAGCAAATGCATAAAGCCTAGCTAGACAACCGCTGCCCGGAAATTCAGTCGGCAGCCAGGTGAAGTCAAAGTCTCCAACGGATGCCTCGTTGACTTTGAACTTGAACCCCGTCTTCTCCCACCTGGAATCCTTTTCTGGGCTCTCCTCGATAAACCGCCGGTTGGATCTCGGGACGCATAGAAGGTCCCGGGACGGCGGGCGTTGTATTTAACGAAGAAGAACGCCCTCAGGTCAGAGAGGCGGAAGCTAACAGCTTCCTCTCGCGCCCGCACAACGCACCCAATGATGGCCCGAACCAAGTTCGGGCACATCTGCGGGAAAGCCATCTGCAGGTCGGCGAGGACCTCCAGGACAAACCGGGGGATCAGGAAAAACAACCCACAGTCCCGGAAGTACGTTGCGTATGCATAACAGAAACCCGGCTCGACGTTCGACGGAGTCTCCGTTGGCGCTAAAACCGCCAACTCTACGTTATCGGGAATCCCGCATTCCCGACGAAGGTCATCCAAGACCTTCTATTCATTGATTTTCGACAGACCCGGGGCCACCGAGTCCTTTGAGCCACCTTCGACCTTTACGAATTGCGACATCGGGAAGAAGGAGGAAGAAGTTCTCAAAACGGCAAGAACACGCAAAAATCCGAAGAGAAATCTGTTCGATTTCTAAAAAGAAGGCGGTGAGTGGAAGTTGCAGAAAATAAAAGGAGGAAGAGAGAAGAAGTTACCTTTAATCGACGAACTGATGCGGTTAAAAAAGGAGTGGAGAAGGTGAACCTTATATCTAAGCAATTATTGCCCACCTCGAAGATCGCAGAGATTCTGGCCACACGCCGATCTCTACCGTTCGATCTCTCCATCTCAACCGTCGAATATTCGACCTTGAAGATTTGATGCGCTGAGCTTGATTAACCAGGGCCGTCAGATGAGCTTTCTCTCCCTCCATCTGGACCTTCCACGTCACACAAATCCCGCATGAATCTTCTCGAGGGCTGCACCTTCTCCGGGAAGCTCGACCGCCGAAACAGAAAAGTAAATGATAATATTTACTCCGAATCCTAACCGTCCACCTGGACGAGATAATAACAAATTTATCTCCACACGCCAAGCTGCGGTTTCAAGGTCGATTCTTGACCACACGATCGACGAATTGTTCACCTTTCCATGATCCGAACCGTCGATCCCGAATGATTATCTGACTCTATGACGTCAGCGTAATCGGACACATTATCTTTCAAAAGTCACATCAAAAGCCCGAGCTCGCTCTCATTAATGGGCTAGGGAAAAATTATTGGAGCTGGATTTAGCACCCTATATCCGGCCCACACGAGCCCAACAGACAAATCCAAACCGAACCAAATTGGCTGGGCTTTGACCCTACGGCCCAGGCCCGTTCGGTCTCAACGATCCAATCCTGAACAACAAAACGTTCCGTTCGATGAGGTCGAGCTCCAGCTCGACCAAATCTCGAGAAACAAGGAAAGATCCTAGCTAAGTCAGAGCATATTCTCGCCAGTTCAAACGAGTCCAAATTTTACGGAGGAAGCTGCTGCACGTGGCAAGATTTCCGGCTAAAGCTACTGCACGTGGCCGATATACGCGCTGGAGGTTGGAGCTCGACAAGGCGAGCATATAAAGAAGGCAAACGGCTTAGTTAAAGGGGAGCTTCTCTTCGATCTTCGGCCTGATCTTCTTCTACATTTTTTACACACGAAAACTCTGTAACTGCTCTTAGAGCTCTTTTCAGTTCATCTCTTTCATAGAATTTTTGTAACGGTTTCATTCAATCGATTAATATCAAATCCTTATTTCAGTTAGTGCTAGCTTATACAGTCAATCTGTTCAAGAGAATCTAGCCCTTAATTCTCCTAAGTTTCTTCTTTTACAAAAACACATAATTTCTGAGTGTGGATTTTAGTATCCACATATATCATCAATTAAAAACATTAATTTTGACGGTAGTGTTTAGCTATTTTCAATAATGTTACTTTCTTAAAGTGGATGGGTTTTATTAGGACGAGTAAATAGATGGGTTAAATATCGTAACTGAATAAAAAACATCAAGTACTGATCTCAAATTTTACTCTCTTCCCTTCCCAAAAGCCCTAAATCTGCCACCTTCCGTTTCAGATCACGAACCGACACTCCCAAATCCCAATCCATTCCCCATCTCCTCTGCTCGCCGTTTCTTCTTGATTCTGTAAGCTTCCTGTTCTCCGTCTCCTCAAATCTATCTGACTTTTGATTTTCAACTTACAGTTTTGCGAAAGATTTGAATTCGATTTCAAGCTTCCGATGATATATGCTGCTACTTACTGGGATTGTGAATCTGGATTTAGAAGTTGAATCTATGATTGAAAAATTGTACTGAGTTGATGATTTGATTATCTGGGATGCACTTTATTCTGCAGAATTCATGGCGGCTTAAGCTCATCTGTTACTAGCTCATGTTTTTGGATGTTCTAAGACTTATTAGAAATTCTTACGGAGTTCGAAATCCTGTAGTTTATGGGTTTAATCCGATAAGTAAAATGCGAGACATCAAAGTGAAAGCTAATTCTAGGTCAACTCATGAAGAAGAAGAGCAACAACAAGAAGTTCAGATAACTTCGTCCTTGAGCGTTAAATCAACTCCCGAGATCGAGAAGAAGTATGTTCATCGGGTTTACGACGCCATTGCTCCACATTTCAGCTCCACAAGGTTTGCAAAGTGGCCTAAAGTCGCTGCCTTTCTGGAATCATTGCCTCCTGGGTCTGTGATTCTTGATGCAGGTTGCGGTAACGGGAAGTATTTGGGGTTAAACCCGAGTTGTTTCTTCATAGGATGTGACATAAGTCACCCACTGATTGGAATCTGTTCGGATAAAGGCCAAGAGGTTCTTGTTGCAGACGCTGTGAATCTTCCTTACAGGGAGGGGTTCGGCGACTCGGCTATCTCCATTGCGGTTTTGCATCACTTAAGCACGGAGAACCGAAGGAAGAAAGCTATCGAAGAACTGGTTCGGGTAGTCAAGCCAGGGGGGTTCGTTCTCATAACGGTTTGGGCTGCAGAGCAGGAAGATAAGTCTTTACTCACTAAATGGACACCTTTGTCTACAAAGTATGTTGAAGAATGGGTCGGGCCAGGTAGTCCGATGAACAGCCCTCGTGTGAGGAACAATCCGTTCTTCGGTCTTGAGAGCATTCCAGAGACTGAGGTGAGTACAAAGGAGCTAAAGGCCGAGAACAGTCTTGAGAACATTCCGGAGACCGAGGAGAGTACAAGAGAGCAAAAGGCTGAGGGCATCGTAGAGACCAAAGATAGCTCGGGAGAGGAAAAAGAAGAGAAATCCGTTGCAGAAGCGTTGGAGGCTCTGATGATGAATCAGCAAGAGTACTTTGTTCCGTGGCATTTACCATACCACCGTGCTGAAGTGAGTGGTGCGTCTGCGTCTGCACTTGCAAGTGGGCTTGCAAAGAAAGACGATAGAAAAGGAGCTGTTGTGTACAACAGGTACTACCATGTTTTCAGTGAAGGCGAACTTGAAAGGTATGTGAGTTCTATCGAGAAATTTGCGTCGCCACAGATTCTATCGATTAGGCTTATTTGTTTACTCATTAACATGTGTAAATAATACTCTTTCACAGGTTGGCATCTGGAGTGGACAATGCAATGATAGTTGATAGGTTTTACGACAAGTCGAATTGGTGTATTGTTCTTCAGAAAGCAGCTTTAAGCCAAGATTGATCGTCTACTGAAACCAAACTCTTTGGGTTTCATACTCAGTTTTACATTTTCCATCTTTATGACATGGTATTGCAGCGCCACCATCGGAGGTTCCATGTGTAATTTGAAGCATTTTTAAGGTTGTAGTTGAGAATCTGTTGCAGCTCATATGTCCTGCAATTGTTAGCTCTAAGGGGTTGTACCATGTGTAACAATGAAACAAAGAATCTACAAGATAAACAAAAATGTCAAAATTGTGATTTGTACAATACCAAAAAAAAGAAATATGTATGAATTTTATCATCAGGTGATTCACTACTTAAAAGTGATACTTACACGAACCGAATTATAGAGAATGCTTTTATAGGTGGTGGATTTGAAATTCTTGATAAACCATCTCGAACCTCTTTGATATTTTAGTGAAAGACTGAAGATCATCATATCTACTTCAAAACGTAATCAACATAAAACACTAGTTACTTTGTAACACTTGGTAAATTAGCCATAAATAGTACTTTAGATCATTAAACCTACTTGTTCTATCTATATCTTGCTGCTCGAGGTCAACTTTGTCCTCAAGATTACTTTGTTGAGTTTTACTGTGAGGAACAACCACTTCACAAGGGTTTTATCAAAAGGAAAACATCTTCAATTATCTAGATGCGCCAATGGGTCCTCCAAAGCTAACCCATGAAACTTGTTGTTTTGCACCATCTGAACAAATCCTGGCTTTATCTCAAAGTTGTTATTTTGCACTGGAGGAGGAGTGATCCCAACCCTATTATGGTGAATATTAGGAGCATCTTCCGCTCCAATGATCCGTGGGGGTCTAGCCGCGTGGTGGGGGTTTCCATTACCCCTTCCCACTGCCCCATGAGCTGGAGGAGGTCCTTCTGGATGTTCTTGCTCAGCCATTGCTTCAAAATCCACTGAACCTTGCTGAAAAATCTCCTCAAAGGCTCTAGCTTGCTCTCTAACCCTTCTTGATCTTGCGTGTCCAAGCTGATAAATATTGTCCAAGGGTGTAAGTAAGTTGTTGTCACCCCTAGAACGCAGATTCATGTACCTGAAAGACACAAGTTTGAAAGTAGAGAAATCAGTAACCAACTTAAAGTAAAGGCTTAGTCTTTACTAAACCCCAAATCTTAATGCTTTCTATCCCCTAAGATGGCAACGACGCCATTTGATAGCAGGGTTTTGCAATGCAATGATGTATCAAAGCTCAAATGCAACACTGAGATGTAGTATAGCATGCAAGTGAGTGTCAATCCACACCTAGGGGTAGCAAGTTCACTAAGAATGCAAGGGAATGAGCAAAGCTAAGCGAAAATGATAAATGATTGGTAAAATCCCTAAAAACTAAATGCAAGTGTTAAATGCAAAGCAAAGCAATTTTAAAATCTCTGGAAGAGGGTTAACTACCACGAGGAACAACAAAAGTTCTAAAATGTAAAGCTAAAAATAACTAAAAATCGACTAGTGAATAGACCACTGGATCGACCACTATATCAAGCAATACGAATCGATCTCGTCTAACAACTTAAATTGATGAATGATGCGATGGATCAATGAACAAGATGCAAACTTTATGATGACAGAATGATAAGCTGAGGTTTAAAACACTTAAGAAAGAGGGACTAGGGTTGAGGATCATATTCATGGGTCTCAAAGATTAAAGCTTGATTTGAAAACATATAGATCTACTCCTTTAGGAGGTTTCTCTAAGCCTTGAAAAAAAAACAAGAACCATCAATAGCGTGTGGTATGATTCACTCCCTCAATCTCTTCTCTAAACCCATGGCTTGTGGTGGAAAAAGGAGATCGAAGGGCAAGGAACACAGATTTCAAACAATGACCTAACTAGTCTCCTTTACAACCATGGCTTGTGGGAAAGGAAAGACTAGCCTCTAGGATCTTATTTTCCAGGACATCTGAATCCTGTCAAGGTAAGATATCCTTTGGATCATAGAGATCTTGGCGTGAGACTCTCTAAGCCTTAAATACTCAAGATCCTGGAAGAGAAGGTAATGAAGAACAAGAAAACTCCAAACTTTAACCTTTTCAACCCCTTTTGAATCGCCTCAACCCATCAACCCAAACGAAACTACTCACTAACTCATAAGGAAAACCGAACAAAACGCGATAAACACAAAGCTAAACATGATCAACGATTGATTAAAGCAAAAGATTCAATATTTAAAGATTCAAATACAAGAAAAAGCTTCAAGAGTCTACAATGGCGGAATCGCCTTCGAACCAGAGAGAAAAACTAAAAAAGATAAAGTGAAAACGTGTGTGGGAAAAGCAGGATCGCCGCCTTCCCAAAATGGGCAAACAGCTCGATGGCCCCCCCTTCGCTAAAAGCCAAAAACGGATAAAGTAGTCTGGGATCGAGCAGGAGACTCGATCTGGCTCTCGATCTTCGTCTTGGATCGGATGGCTTTGGTCGATCTCCGAGTCGATCTTGTGCTGATCAGGTTGGAAGCTCGATCCAATGCTCGATCTGCATGGCGTCATTTACGTCCGTACTTCAGATCGATCTCCTCACTCGATCTCGGTCTCGATCCGTTTCTTTGTATCGACTTGGTCACTCGATCTTCTGGTCGATCTCATCTAGATCGACCTGCCTTGCTCGATCTGCTACTCGATCTCGGGTCCTTAGCATGCACTCCTGAGTTCTCCAAGTGTCCACGAACTTCCTCACGAGCCTTAGCACGTCCACGAATCCTCCAAAGCTCCAAAGTATCCAAAAACAACCTAAATGTGATGCATAATGCAAGAAATATGCAAATGCTAATGCAAAAGTGCTCTAGGACCTAAAATGATGCAAACTAGCCTAATGTGCAAGGTAAATGCATGAGAAACTATCTTACATGCATGCAAAACACACGAAATATGCAGCAATATCAAAAGTATCCTCTTGATTCCTTGGAAGAGAAAGCACAGCTCGGTCTTTGTCACTGTAGGAGCCACGGATCGCCCACTTAAGGTGTTGGCTAGTAGCTTGAGAGTATACCTAAAAACGGAGTTCCTCACTTTCTTGATCTTAGCCGTGTTGGGTTTGTAGTCTTCATCACAAAGCACGTCCCATAAATTGTTGGCGGTCTTAAGAGGAGGGAACTCTACTTGCTTAGCCGTGGCATTAAGACCATAAGCTTGGCAAAGCTCTTCAATGGAGAGATGATAAGCTTGCCTCTTGACCTTAAAGGTGAGATGACCTTGTGAGGGAGTGGGGAGACTCGGATTCTCATAGGAAAACGCCAAGGTAGAGAGGAAGTCTAGAGTGACTTGTGGATATGTTGGGCACTCCATCCTTGAAAGGCATGCAAGCCCCATGCCTTGGAGAAGAAAATCAAAATATTCTAGAAGTCCCATCCTCTCCAACAGATCTCTGCTAGCAAACTTAGTAGGCTTAAAGCGCAGCCTCTCTAACCTCTTCTTTGCCAACATTTCCTCCTTTGTCCAACGAACCCTCTCTTGTACTTGCTGAGCTTCTTCTTCTTGAACCACTTGTTGCCCCTCTTCTCCTTGTGTTGTTTCTTCTCTCGTTTTCTTGGGAGCCATAGTTCATGAAACACAATTCTCAAGCAAAAGAATGAGCAAAGGCGGTGAATATTGAGAGAAAGACTAGTCAAGAAAGAAAAAATTATAACAATTAGCCAAGATTTTAGAGGATTTTATAAAAATTATAGCTGGATAAAAGAAAAAAAAATCTAGAGATAGTATTAAATCTAGAATTTTTCCTAATATCTAGCTATATCTAAAAAATTTCTTAATCCCCTAGCAAATCATTCCCTAAATCACAACAGAAAATGATTTTCTTGAAAGATTAAGCAAGCAAATCAAATAACACGAAAATACAATTGATTGTAGAGGAAAATGAAATGCACAAGTCTTAAAAACTCAAATTCGCTCTCTCTCTCTCTTTGTTTTGTGAAAATCGGGTTTTCAAAGTGAAGAAACAAAAGAGAGAAAGAGAGGTTTTAAAGACAAGAAAATTTTGGACACATGCAAGAGTGATTTCTGATAAAAGCTTGGTCAATGCACATCTTTCATGGTCAAAGATTCCTTCCTTGACCAAGATTTGAATTTAAAAACAGGAGGGAAAGAAGAAAAGAAGGAAAAGAAATTGTTACCTCGGCACGAGATCGAGTCCATTTGGTCGATCTAAGACTCGATCTCATGCCCATGTTGGCTAGGAACGAGAGGTTTGATCGATCAGGGACTCGATTCAAATTGGATCCAGTCTTAGATAGCACACTGAAGAGATCAGAGAAGAAGAAGAAGAAGAACAATGCAATGATACTGCTGGCGCTGAAGGCCAAGGAAGAACCCATGAAGAAGATGAGCTTGAAGAAGAAGAAGGGTTGAAATACAGCTCAAAGCAGTTCCACTTCCACCCCTATGAAGCTCCCAACCAAGGAAGCTCTTTGAGAGCAGCTCATGAGCACATTAACACACTACAGAAGTGGTGCAAGTGGCAGGACAAAGCCATCAAAGGTCTTATGAAGATGGTGAAGGGGAAGTTTAGGAAGAACAAGGCTACATCAGCAAAAACTTCCCACCACAGCCACACCCAAGAGCTGAAATCTCAACATGAAGAGCAACTTAACCCATCTGAGCCAACTGAAGAGGAGGAAGCTGTATGGAACCCCCATGGAAGACACTCATTCCATGCTCAACCAAGTGACCAATGGGGTACATGGGCACAACCAAGGGCTTCATCTTATGAGCGAAGAGCCCATGTTCCATCAGCTTGGGAGGCGCCAATCCCCAACCCCTATGAAGCTCGGGATACATGGCAATGGAGCACACAAGGGACTTCTTCACAAGCTGAACAGCTATGGTGAAGCTGGGTTCAACCAACTCTAGATACAGAGCATTCGACTAAGGTCTATGAGAGAAGGAAGAGGAGAGCTAGCAAGTCTCCACAAACCTCAGGATCATCCCACAACTCCTACCATTGAACCAAGTACCACATCCCTTCCATTTTTCTATACCATTGCATATTTTTATTTTTG